GCACTGAGGTCTAACCTAGTCAGCAAACAGCGCCAGCGAGCTTTTAAATGTCCAAATGCACATTCTACCACCATTCTGCACTTGCTCAGCCTATAGTTGAACTGCTCCTTACTACTGTCCAGGCTGCCTGTTTACGGCTTCATGAGCCATGGGAGAAAGGGGTAGGCTGGGTCCCCAAGGATAACTATTGGCATTTCAACATCCCCAACAGTAATTTTCTGGTCTGGGAAGTAAGTCCCTTCTTGCAGCTGCTCAAACAGCCCGGAGTTCCTAAAGATGCGAGCGTCATGCACCTTTCCCGGCCATCCCACGTTGATGTCAGTGAAACGTCCCTTGTGATCCACCAGTGCTTGCAGCACCATTGAGAAGTACCCCTTGTGGTTTATGTACCGGTTGTCAAGGTGGTCCAGTGCCAAGATAGGGATATACGTTCTGTCTATCGCCCCACCACAGTTAGGGAACCCCATTGCATCAAAGCCATCCACTATGACCTGCACATTTCCCAGAGTCACTACCCTTGATAGCAGAACGTCAGTGATTGCACTGGCTACTTGAATCACAGCAGCTCCCACAGTAGATTTGCCCACTCCAAATTGATTCCCGACTGACCGGTAGCTGTCTGGCATTGCAAGCTTCCACAGGGCTATCGCCACTCGCTTCTCAACTGTGAGGGCAGCTCTCATCTTGGTATTCCTGTGCTTCAGAGTGGGGGAAAGCAACTCACAGAGTTCCAGGAAAGTGGCCTTATGCATGCGAAAGTTTTGCAGCCACTGGGAATCATCCCATATGTGCAACACTATGCGGTCCCACCAGTCTGTGCTTGTTTGCCGGGCCCAGAATCGGCGTTCCACTGTATCAGCGAGCCCCACTGCCACCATGATGTCCCAATTGCCACATCCCATGCTTTCAGGAACATCTGTGTCCATGTCCTCCTCACAATCGTCCTTGTGCTGCCATCTCTTAGCCAGGTTCTGCACATACTGCAGTATAATGCACGAGGTGTTTACAATGCTCACAACAGGAGCGGTGAGCTGAGCGGGCTCCATGCTTGCTGTGCTATGGCGTCTGCACGGGTAACCCAGGAAAAAAGGCGTGAAATGCTGCAGTTGCTTTCACAGAGTGCAGGAGGGAGGGAGGGAGGAGAGACTGACGATATGTACCCAAAACCATCCGTGACAATGTTTTTGCCCCATCAGGCATTGGGAGCTTAACCCAGAATTCCAGTGGGCAGCAGAGACTGCGGGAACTGTGGGATAGCTACCCACAGTGCACCGCTCCGTGAGTCGATGCTAGCCACGGTAGTGAGGATGCACTCCGCTGTCTTAATGCGCTTAGTGGGGACATACACAATCGACTGTATAAAATCGATTTCTAAAAATCGACTTCTATAAAATCGACCTAATTTCGTAGTGTAGACATACCCTTAGTGAGCACCAGCAAGTCCACACAAGGGATTGCCCTACCCCAGCCAGGACTGTGACAGGGCCTTTGACAGGACTAAGCACCTTCGCACCCACTAGAGATGGCACCGGGTAGGGCAAAATGTACCTGCATACCACAGGGTGGCCCTGACAGCTTCTTGTGGGGTGGGGGTCATGGTCTGGGCATGGGAGGGAGGCAGGGGAATGCAACCCTGACTGACAGCTCCTGGTGGGGAGGAAGGACAGGGTCCTGACTGACAGCCTTTCATAAGAGAAGACATGGCCCTGATTTATTTTGGGGAGACAATTTATAGATTATTCTTAGAAGTTAGGGTCCATTGTGACCATCCAGCCCAGCCTCCTGCATAGGAGAATCTCCCCCAGCAATTCCAGCATCTAGACCAATAACTTCTGGCTGAGCTAGAATATCTCTTTATTCGGCTTTAATTGAACTCATGTTGCACTCCAACTGGTGCAATTACTGATGCCCTGTAATATATACAGAAAGAATTAAATGATGCTGGAAAAAAACAGCAAACCTTACTTAACTCATGCACATGTACACTCAGGCCAGGACAAGAAGCAAAGGGCTTAATCTGCAGCAAAGGAGATCTAGGTTAGATATTAGGAAAAACTTTTTAACTATAAGGGGAGTTAAGCTTCGGAACAGGCTTCCAAGGGAGGTTGTGGAATCTCCATCACTAGAGGTTTATAAGAACAGGTTGGACAAACACCTGTCAAGGATGGCCTAGGTTTACTTAGTCCTGTCTCAGGGCAGAGGGCTGGACTTGATGACTTCTCAAGGTCCCTTCCAGTCCTACATGGGCCTGTCCAAAGCCCAGTTAAGTCTTTCCGTTGACCTTCAAAAGGCTTTGGATCAGGCCCTCTGAGTGGGATCTACTCACTGGAGTCAAGGTTTCCAGAAGCTGACTCCAGCCCATAATCTCACTATTGGGGAGATATAATCATCTACAGTAAATTGTCACACATGTGTCTTACAATTCTTTTTCAAAACCCAACAAAAACCAAACACAGGAAATTCCCAAAGAACTTTGTTAAGATACACACTTAACTACACTTCTACCCTGATATAACGCAACCCGATACAACACGAATTCGGATATAATACGGTAAAGCAGCGCTCCGGGGGGCGGGGCTGCGCACTCCGGCGGATCAAACCAAGTTTGATATAACGCGGTTTCACCTATAACGCAGTAAGATTTTTTGGCTCCTGGGGACAGCGTTATATCGAGGTAGAGGTGTATAAATAGTTAATTAAGATGGCCCCCCCCCCACTAGCTGCTGAAAGAGTGGCCCAGCTGTGGACTGCCAAGCCACTGTGAGGAGTGGCTGGACTCTTGTTGGAGGAGTTCCCCAGAAGAGGGGGAAACCGGATGGTGACACGGCCAGGGGGCTGTGCCACGAAATAGATGCCGAGCAGAAAGGAGCCATACCAGGCCTGCAAGCAGAGACGAGGACGGGAGACCCACCACCACCCGAGGGCGCACCCGCTGGGACTGACAATTCCCAAAATGGCCAGCAGGAGGCGCCAGTGTGGTGAGTGACCCTGTGACAGTCCCTTTTGCCACCTCTGTAACATCGTCCCCCACTCATCCCAGACACCTCTACAATTGTGCTCTGGGGGACTTGGGGAGGGGACATCCACTCACTGCATTACAGAGCTACTTTCTGTTGGAAAACCAAACACCTGATAACAGACCATTTCTGGCAAGAACCTGAACATATTTCTGTTTTTAGCAGGTTTTAGCTCCCCCTACAGAGATGTCTGTAGTTGCATGTTAAGTGCCAGCCATTCGCTCCACCAGCTCCGGGTCCAGCAGGGCCTCTCTGCAGTGCCAGAAGTGCCTGCGTGCTGCCCGTCCTCTCCGAGCGGTTAGTGAATCCCACGCCAGGCTGGCTTCTCCATTGCTGCCTAAGTGTGAGCCTATGGCATTGGCATTACTGCCCTCCTGCACATTGATGGGGTTTCACACCTGGTCTGTGAACCCCCAGCTTAATGCATGTTCCTACAAGCCAGCCCCAACCCTACTGCTCAGTGACAGGGCTCCCCACAGTCTCTGTCCCCCATGAGTCATCCCTGTCCATACCATGCAGTGACATGAGAGGGCTCCCCTGAAGTCTGGGCCTTGTGTCCCTGGAGCACGTTACAAGGCGGCTCTCCCTTTCCCCATGGCCATTGTGTCTCTTGAGGCCTCTCTCTCCTCTCCCTCTGAAGCAAGTTTCTGGGTGACTCTCCCTTCCCCTCTGCTGATGCATCTTTTGTTGCTGCTTTGTCCTTCGCTGCCCTCAGTGCATCTTTCAGGGCTGCTCTCTCCTCATCCACCGCTGGTGCATCTTTTGTTTGGCATTCTTTGCAGCATGGTCTGGGGTGGCTCTGTCCTCCCCCATGCCCGGGCCATTTGAGGGGCAGCTCTCCTCTCATCGGGCCCCAGGTTTGGGGGTCAACCTGTCCTTCCCTGCAGCCAACGTGGTTTTTGTTGCTGCTTTCTCCGTACCTATGCTCGGTGTGTGATTGGTGGTAGCTGCGTCCTTCCTTGTGGCTGATGTGTCTTTTGAGGCCTCTCTCTCCTTCTCCCCTGCCAAAACGTCTTTCAGAGACAGCACATCTTTCCATGCTGTCTTTCCTCCCCTGTGCCCAGCCCATGTCTGGGGGTGTCTCTCTCCTCTCTTGTGCCAGGGCCATTTTGGGGAGTGGCTCTCTCATCCCCCATTCCCGGCCCATGTCTGGGAGGAGCTCTGTCCTCGGCTGGCCTGTCTCTGGGGGTGGCTCTTTCCACCCCTGTCATAACTATAAAGGGAAGGGTAACAGCTCTCCTGTGTACAGTACTAAAATCCCTCCTGGCCAGAGACTTCAAAATCCTTTTACCTGTAAAGGGTTAAGAAGCTCGGGTAACCTGGCTGACACCTGACCCAAAGGACCAATAAGGGGACAAGATACTTTCAAATCTTGGGGGGGGGGAAGGCTTTTGTGTGTGCTCTTTGTTTTAAGGGGTTGTTCGCTCTTGGGACTGAGAGGGACCAGACATCAATCCAGGTTCTCCACATCTTTCTAAACAAGTCTCTCATATTTCCAACTTGTAAGTAAAAAAGCCAGGCAAGGCGTCTTAGTTTTACTTTGTTTTCTCAACTTGTAAATATACCTTTTACCAGAGTGTTTATCTTTGTTTGCTGTACTTTGAACCTAAGACAGAGGGGGGTCCTCTGAGCTCTTTAAGATTGATTACCCTGTAAAGTTATTTTCCATACTGATTTTACAGAGATGATTTTTACCTTTTTCTTTAATTAAAAGCCTTCTTTTTAAGAACCTGATTGACTTCTCCTTGTTTTAAGATCCAAGGGAGTTTGGATCTGTATTCACCAGGAGTTGGTGA